AATCTTTGAAAGCGCGTTAAGAAGTAAGATCACAAAATACATGGAATCAGTGTCTACATAACCCTAGGCTACATTGGCTCAGGACAGGGTGTCCCTGCCTCTCTGAATTGCTAGGTCACTATGACTTGGCATTAGATGCCATGGAAGAAGAGCCAAATGCTGATATAATACACAGGTTTCACAAAAGCTTTTGATAAATCTGACCACTGTTATTGTAAACAAAATGTGCACAAACAGAATTATTGGCAAAGTAGGGAGATGGATCTTTAAGTTCCCAATGAACAGAACCCAGAATGTAATAGTCAACAAAGTAAAATCCAGATCATCCAACATGAAAAGCTCAATCCCCCCGAAGGTACTGTACTTGCTCTGGTACTTTTTTCTCATCCTCATATCAGACAGACAAGAATACAAGTTATAGTACTGTATCATCCTTTACAGATGGCACTAGGATTTTCCTAGAAAAATAGACAACATAGAGGACACAGCAAACCTCGAATCTGATGTTAATGGAGTCTTTTCAATGGGCTACTGAAAATAATAAGTTTACCGAGGATAAGTACAAATTACTATGGAAAAATAAAATTCAAAACCACATATAAAATGGTGTCAATTCATCCTATTGAAAGAACAAGGAATAGAAGATTTAGACGTAATGATGTCGGAAGACCTTACTTTTAAAGAACACAACAAAGAAGCTGTCACAGCTGTAAGAAAAGTGACAGGTTGGATAACAAGAACTTATCAACAAGAGATACTCCCACCAATCTCTTGGAGATTGGATAATCTCCTGAATAATATTAGGAAATCAGAAAGCCTCCCTCCCTAATTGGGGGAGGAGGGGGGTGCTGGCCCAGCCGACGGGCTTCAGTTCTTTAACCCCTTAACTGCGTTGCCTCCAAATGTGACACCCCCGCAGTGCGCAGGAAATAAATTCTCTGGAAAAAATTCTTTTTTCTTTTTGAAGTGTCAAAAACCCTTCCCTCAGTATGGGTATGCAAAAAAAAAGTCGAAATTGTACTTACTTTGGCTGCTATGGGGTCCGGAAGTTGGGGCGTGACGTCATCATTCCCCGTGCGCCCGTGCCGTAAGCTCTCGGGGGCGGTGGGGCGCTCGGGGCGGGGCGCGCGAGTTGCCGCGAATATATTTTCGTTCATTTTTTGCGCACCTTTCCAAATACATTTTCATTGTTTTTATGTGCCAATCCAATGTATAATGAACACGTACACTATAATATCGCAGTACAACATCCGTACTGTCCGTAGACACTGTGTTACGTGCATGAAACTTGTGTACACATATGCAGCACATATTTACTATGTATCATGCTAATTTGTGTATATATACAATCTATTTACACACTATACACTGTCACACACTATATACATTCACCATCAACACATTCAGAACACCGCGTAGCAGCTGCTTCGTATGGGCCAATATCAGCTGCCTCGTATGGGCCAATATCAGCTGCCTCGTATGGGCCAATAGCAGCTGCCCCGCATGGGCCAATAGCAGCTGCCGCGTATGGGCCAATAGCAGCTGCCTCGTATAGGCAATAGCAGCTGCCTCGTATGGGCCAATAGCAGCTGCCGCGTATGGGATAATAGCAGCTGCCTCGTATGGGCCAATAGCAGCTGCCTCGTATGGGCCAATAGCAGCTGCCTCGTATGGGCCAATAGCAGCTGTCGCGTATGGGCCAATAGCAGCTGCCGCGTATGGGCCAATAGCAGCTGCCGCGTATGGGCCAATAGCAGCTGCCGCGTATGGGCCAATAGCAGCTGCCGCGTATGGGCCAATAGCAGCTGCCTCGTATGGGCCAATAGCAGCTGCCTCGTATGTGCCAATAGCAGCTGCCTCGTATGGGCCATGAACACATTCAGAACACCTTGAGTGAGAGCAGCCACACCCAGCCAGTCTCCCTCACTCCAACATCTTACTCGCCAACATTGCTCCTCCCACCATATTGCTATAGTTCTTATTACACATGTTCTATATACCTATCTACACGTTTTATTTACCAGAACTATGCAAGTAAGCCGGTATTGTGTCCAAACAGTACAGTGGCCACCATACACTGCATGAAAAATCACACAGCAGACGACGCTACGATTACGTCACCTCCCTCACCAAAATAGCTCCTCTCAACATTCTCCTGTTGCTGTTCTTACACTATATACACACACTATATATACCCATGTACATATGTGTTGCCCATAGTGAACCACTAAGCTAGTATGGTGAGCAAAACAAGAGTGGCAGCCACACACACACAATTGAGGCTACCTCAATTCTCGCCCTCCCTCCCTCATCAAAATTCCTCCTTCCACAATACTACGCACAACGCTAATTATAACCACATTCCTGCTATTATCACAATCCTGGTCACTAATTCCTGTAAATGAATAATTGACCACACGTTTATTTTGAAAAAGAACCTAAGAAATCATTTGAAGATTCCTAGATGAACGAAATAATGCTCTGGTGCTGTGGCTAGCGCTGTGAACATCGTGAACAGCATTGAATCACTGATATTTGAACATTGTACCCAGTCATTATCACACTCAGGCTCTAATATAACACTAAATAATACAATTTATATATATATTTTGACATTATTAGGCGATGCTGTGGTCACATGCTGAACAGCAGTGCTGTGCGCTCATGCTGCGAGCGCCAGCCTTGGTTGCTCACACACTACTGAGGCTCCCACACCCGGGAATGTGGACCACGATTTTTTTTAAAGATGGCGTCTGTTTACAAGAGCCCTGAGGAAGCTGTTGTGAACCCCATGTAGCCGCGGGAGTTTTGAATGGAACGTGAAAAATACAAATACCCGGAGGCGCGTTGCGCAAACCAGACGTGAGCCTGCAGGCGCGTTGCGCAGTTTAAGGGTTAATGATTTCTGTGGGGAACCCTGTTGGCTCCCAGAGGACAAAATGTTTGTTTTGCCCTCTGTTCCCCATACTTAGCTTCATTAATATGCACTTGCTAGAGTTCAACTCTTGGAGGCCTGGTCTAAATTTTGGCTGAACCAGAGTTTAGCTCAAGGAGCTATTAGGATGGTCTTCCCAGAAAAGGGGAACAAGGAAACCATCTCAGGCATAATATGTATGCTTGCTTGTAGACATTAATGGGTTGTACAGGTGATAGGGACTTCTGTAAACAATTCTAAGCCAACGACCTGGTAATCTATCACTTGGTATCAATCACATTCCAACCTGTCATCTAAATATTATACTAATTATAACAACTGTGGATGACAATACAAAATATTTTTTTTGTGCACAAAAAACCAGCATTGAATGTAATGAAACACCATTTTCTGGGTGAGCCTCAGAGGCTCCCAGGAGCTATCAGGTTAATGTGTGATATATTTCACCAGGGCATTAGTTGATGGAGTTCAGCCTATCGGGGATCACTAGTCAGAACCTGGCTCCCCTTAGAGATTGCAGAGAGCAATGGCCCTGGAAAACATCCCCTGTGGTTGGGGGTTTTCCTTATCTGCCATTGACCGGGGTTAGGCATCCAGAAAGGTAAGCATAACAAAACAAACCCCCAAATAGTAAGAAAAGTACAACTAAAAACCAAAAAGAGAGGCAGAACTCCCTCTAATCCCAAGGAAACCAGCAAACGTTACACTCCACCGCCACGCCGCTCGTCCGTACAGCCCTCCCCTCCCTGAAAGGGGGAGGGGGAGCCCCGGACCATCCTGGGCCGGCTACCTAGAACTGCAGTTTGGAAGTTAAGCATCAAACAACGTGAAATACCACGGACCGGAAGGGGGAGGGGGGGGTTGCCAGGGAGTCTCCGGAGGCTCACCCAGAAAATGGCGTTTCATTACATTATAGACCCCAACAACTTATAAATTATGTGGAAAACCTTTAAAGACTTCTGATCAAGATATCTAGGAAAGGTTCTAGATAGAAAACTATCACCTGAGGACCACATAAAAAACGTTGTGCGAGAAGCCTATGCTACACTTTTTAACTTCAGAATTGCTTTTAAATACATGGATGGCAAAATACTAAAGAAATTGTTCAAGACTTTTGTTAGGCCAAAGCAATATGTAGCGGTTGTATGGTGCCCATATCTTAAAAAGCACATCAACAAACTGGAAGAGGTGCAACGACACGCTACTATGTGGCTCCCAGAACTGAAGGGCAAGAACTACGAGGAGAGGTCAGAGGCATTAAATATGCCAAAACTAAAAGATAGAAGAAAATGAGGCGATATGATCAATACGTACAAGATAGGAACAGGAATCAATAAAATTGACAGGGAAGACTTCCTGAAACCTGGAACTTCGAGAACAAGAGGTCATAGATTTAAGTTAACTAAACAATGCAGCCGAAGAAATACAAGAAAATTCACTTTTGCAAGCAGAGTGGTAGATGGTTAGAACAAGTTAGGTGAGCAGTTGGTGGAGGCCAAAACTCTCAGTACTTTCAAAGCGTTATATGACAGAGAATGCTGGGAACACGGGACACCACGAGCGTAGCTCTCATCCTTTAACTACACGCCAAACTGCGGCTGTGTGCCTCGTACTGTGAACATCATCACCTGCATCAGGTTCACTGTTATCTAAACATTGTTCACAGTCTTTATCATTATCACTGTTAAATTATTGCAGTTACTATTTATTTCATTCTAAGTGATGCTGTGGGCACGAGCTGTATGGCTGTGACCACAGCTGCATGTGCTACTCATGATTGCTGTCTTAGTACTGAGGCCCCTCACACCCACGAGGGATGCCCACAACTGTTTTCCAAGATGGTGTTTGTTTACCGGTGTCCTGAGGAAGTGTATGAGAGCCCCATATACCTGCAAGATTTTCAAATGTTTTGCAGCACATAAATCCATCTCACGATGATGCTCAGTTGAAGGGATACACTAAGTTACAAAACTAACACTTCTCCATTAGGGAGACATGAGCTCCAGACTATTTGACCCGCATGATAAGTGTACCACAATATCTATTGGATAAATTGAAAACAAAATGAAAGCAAATATATTTATGTTCTTAGTCCATAACTTACATTTAAACAACACTTTTCTTTCCCTCTTTTTTACTCTTGTATCTACATGCTGACGCTTTCTTTCGTTTCTCTCGGACTTGACGCATGTGCTCACGATCCTCTATATCAGCCTGGAATTTCTTCCTGCGTTCTGCATTATCCATCTCTTCCTTCTCCATTTTATTCTCCATCATTGTCTTTAATCTCTTCATGAAGTTATCCATCTGAAAAAGCCAATGCAAGTGATGAAATACATTATTAAAGGCAAATAAAACCTAAATATCAGGTTGATCATTGAGGGTAATTAAGGAAATGCATCATCATATATTTTAATGGAAATTTGATGCCAGTTATAGAAATTACTGGCACAATAAAAATATAAATCTCCTTTAGATAGAAACTTTACACAACCTAAGCATTTTCCACCTTGCAAATTGGCAAAAAAAAAAAAAAAAAAAATCCTTCCCAAAGCAGTTACTAGCAGGTACTGCCAGATCCCACCATAATACAGCACATTGTGTCAAGCTACTATTATTAAAACTCAACTTTGAAGAAAATTCTTTTAGATATTTGTATACCATTTAGAAAAAATGCAAACAAGCCAAACCTAAAGAGTTTATCCATGTAGGAATGTCCAATAAATTTAACATAAATGCTGCATCAATATTCGTTGCATCTATTCTAGATATTTATTTTAGAATGATGTTATCATAATCATAATCCATAATACAGTGGAACCTCGGTTTTCGAATGCCCCTCTTTTCAAATTTTTTGGTTCTTGAGCTCAGTTTCTTAATTAAAAAAAATTTGACTTGGTATTCAAGGTTTGCCTCGGTGCTCAAGTTTCTTGATACACGAATGGGCCGACCGAGCACATGGCATGCTTCAGTTTACAAGTGTCTCCCGCCTAGTGATACCACGCTTGAATTATTTGTGAAGAATTTCATTGTTTTTGTGCTTTTTGGGTTTCAGAACATAAAAGTTCTTATTATATATCACACCAAGGGTTAATAGCTGTGAAGATGACGATAGAGGAAAACAAGAGATCATTCATAGTGAGAATGTCATGTCTCACTACAGACAAGTGATAAAACATAGGGAAAAACAAGTGTCTATAAACAGATTCTTAGTAAGACAAATAATATACACCTGGAAGATACTAGAGGGCCAAGTATCAAATCTACACAGTAAAATAACAACGTACTGGAGTGAACGATATGGAAGAAAATGCAGAATAGAACTAGTGAAGAGCAGAGGTGCCATAGGCACAATCAGAGAACACTGTATAAACATCAGAGGTCCGCGGTTGTTCAACGTCCTCCCAGCAAGCATAAGAAATATTGCCGGAACAACCGTGGACATCTTCAAGAGGAAACTAGATTTATTCCTCCAAGGAGTGCCGGACCAACCGGGCTGTGGTGGGTATGTGGGCCTGCGGGCCGCTCCAAGCAACAGCCTAGTGGACCAAACTCTCACATGTCAAGCCTGGCCTCGGGCCGGGCTTGGGAAGTAGAAGAACTCCCAGAACCCCATCAACCAGGTATCAACAAGAAAGCAGTGAGCCACAACCAGGTCCTAGTGGTATGCCTGCAAAAGTAGGAGAAAGAGTACCCCAGAAATGTCATCACTGCTGTTACAATGGAAAGGGACTCCTCTTCCAAACACTAACACCTCTCCTCCTCCCCCCACTCCCTCCTCACCGTCTTCCATATGCCATCAAGAGTCCTCAATAATGGTAAGATATATTTGTACATACTGTAGTACAAAATATGAATACTGTATATATATAAAATAAATTATTTTTAATTTTAAATTTTTGGGGGTGTGGAACAGATTAATTCAATTTACATTATTTTTTATGGGAAAACGCATTTCGATTTTTGAACCGTCTCTGGGAACGGATTAAATTAGAAAACGGCGATACCACTGTATCTTAAAAATAGAAACTTGTAACTCCATAAATACTGCAATTTCCATCTGGTCTTCACTTCTTTCCAAGCTTGCAGTTAAGACATGTGGTTAAGCTAACAACAAAGTTAGATATGGTTAAACCGTAATGAAGTTATTGAGGGAGGTATCCTCAGATTCCTATCCCACCATATAAGATACAAGAAACTTGTTTTGAAGGCTTCTGAAAGCTTTGGTTTATATTCTCCTCTTATTTTAATTATTCCATTAATCTTATTTTAACAATTTTATATGTGATCATGTTGCCTCTTTCTTTTGCTCAGTAGTTTTAGTATATCTAATGCCTTCAGATGATCCTTCTTGTTGTGTTTTAGGTCTGGCAGTTATTTAGTAACATATCTTTGCACCTATTATAATTTATTAATGCTCACTCTCATTTATGGGCACCATACAACTGGTTCATTTTCTAATTTGTTTCATGTATGTTGTGAAACTGTTGTTTAAATGCAATTCTGAAATTGGCCATGGAGTACAACAGCCTCCCATTATATTTACCAAACCTAGATTTCTTTCATGCGAGGAAAGCCTGTCACTCATTACATTTGCACGTACACTACTTCCTATATACAAAATATTTATTGCATTTAACAGAACTTGGCCAGCTAAATACAAGCTCATCACTTTCCAAAACCCTTTTCTATTAACCTCATCACATGTTTTCCAAGTTCATAAATGAAAATTCGTTTTTCAGTTTTTCTCAGACAAGCATTCTCTACAAGTATTTTTAATGCAAAAAATAATCTTATCTGCATGCTTCAGCAATGGAATGAATCTTGTTCACAACTCAACAAGAAGTTCCTGTATATAGTTAATCAATATCCTGCAGTAAACTGCCCAATACACTTAGTAAACTAATGACTTTACAATTATTACACACACTAATCCTCAGGCACAGTACCACTGTCTCATGGCTTCTGGTCAATTCACCACATCCAATCCACTGCTTTTCTGTACTACACTTAATAATTTCTGTAGGCCTCGTCCACTCCTGCAACTTTCCCACACTTCAGCTTACTGATGTAAACTCCCTTCTTCTATAGATCTATCAGCTGGTGTATTATCTTGTACTCTTCTCACACAATCCAATCATGTTCTTGTTACTGTCATGTTTATCACTTATTCCACGTACTTTTGGTGTCTTCTTTACAATTTAACTTTTGTTCATAATTATCTTAATCCATTCCAATTTATCCCTCCACCAATTTTCCTTACTTCATTACAAAATAGTTCCCATTTTTATAAACAACTTTCCTTAAATTTTTCAATCCAATCTCATTTCTGACTAAATAATACTTTCACATACCTGTTGCCCTTGCCTTACTTCTGCTTTTCTGTCTCACGTTTACTCTGTAGTCACTTTCTACTTATTTTATTATCATCACCTGCTCTTGCTACTGTCATCTTTCCCAGCAGTTCCTCTAATTTTTCAAAAAATTTATGCAATTTCACATACCACTTTCTTAACCTATATTGTTGAATGTGAAACCGTAAAAGATTGTAGACCTCCTGGCCTATTGTACCAACAACTGTGTAACTATTTCATTGAATCTGGTGTACTGGATGACATCCTAACACTTTATCCTAAATTGGCTTGTTCATTTCAAAGAATGAAGAACAATTATATTTTTATTATTATTTTTATGCTGCATCTCTTATGAACCCATCCCTGTCCTTGTGAGGCAGTGCACAATAGAAAGTTGAATTTACATATTTGTACATTGAAACATTGATTGTAACCATGATATATATATGTGCTTAAGCCTACAGTTTAGGCCTATTGTCTTGTGACTTATTCTCTGTCCTGTGTGACTGAATACCAGCATTATCCTCACTTTAATAAGATTTAATTGAATTCCTCAGATTAGGCAAAATTGTAATTAATTTTTGTCAGTAAAGATATTAATAATAATAAACTTTTTTGTAAACATCCCATACGTCGATATCATTTGTTAATTATCTCTTTCTCGAAGGTCACTATCAACTCTTCTGTTGCAATCTATTAACCAAATCTCTTTCACTGAACTTCTCAACTTTTATTTTACAGCTTCATGTATACTTTTAAGCAATGATCCATAATAATAATAATAATAATAATAATAATACTAATAATAATAATAATAATAATAATAATAATAATGGTATCGAAGAAATATCGGGTCACTAAACTTTACCTATAACTTTATCGTCTCGCTCTATCCTAAATTTCTGGTTTTCTGCCTCACCACCCATCAATCACTCCAATCACTCTCACCAAACCTCTTGGTTGAAATAATTAAAGTTAAACAGTGGTTACTAAATACAATAATCAATACAGTGTAATGAAATGAACATTACTTTCTTTCTTTCTTTACTGCACAAAAGCATTGTGGCTTCAACTCAATGTAAGCAACTACACTGTATTGTAAAACTTGGCAACAGGCCAAGTGTAAGTAATTGAGGTGTTTCATGACAAATTTGATGTATGTAAATGGTAATTGTTAATTTTATTGAATGAATGTGGACAAAAGTAAAGTTTTGGTAGTGAGAAGAATAGTGTGTGTGAAATAATATGAAAGGCATCATGCTGGAAGTGATCGATCAGTTTTAATACACAGGATGTGAGAGTGATAAAAGATAAATTTGTGCAATTGAAGTACTATATAGTATACATAAAAAAAAATAAAAAATTGCCATTGGGCTACACATGCTTGAAGTCAATACAGGGGGGCATTCTCAAGATACCGAGTGGAAACCTTGAGAAAGGCAGTTTTGTTACTAAGATCATGAGGCTCCCAAATTAAAAGAACAATATGGTGTCCAGTTGGTGTTACATATGGGCTTACAATTTTATCTGAGACTATCCAACACATGTACTGGTACTTAGAAATTTGGTCACCAGTTAACTACACTGCCTAATTTTAATACGAAGCTTTTTTTTTTTTTTTATAAACATAGGTAAGCATTTGAAGTTTAAAGTCAATCAGAAGAAATGTTCGAGACATCATTCAAAAAGTGACTACAACAAAAATATTAAAAAAAACATGAAATCATAACTTATCCATACTAAGGACACTGAAATATTGTACCTGAATCTCGTTGGGATCCTTGACAACAACAACACGCTGCTCTTTTTTGTCTCTTGGAGTAATCTTAGGCTTCTCAGTGTATGGCAAGGCTCTCTGAAGTTCTTTGGAAATCTTCAATGGCTGAGGAATATACTCACGACGACTGGTGATGGGCTGCAGGAAAGAAAAGGGTGGTCACAATAAAAAGCATTTACCCGACACATTTGTCCTTCACTATACTTGAGTAAAGGTCTGGCCAAATGAATGTGTGTATATTAATATATGGCCCACAAACACAGCAAGTCAAATTTGTCCATATAGTATAGGTACATGCTCTTTTAAGACATTACATAGAATTTAAATTAAAATACAGAACTTAAATTTACACAACATTTAAACAAATATTTTGGGCTGATCAAAATCCATCACACATATTTTTGCCCTAACATAATAGTTATGTTATTTTACCGTATATAAGGAGTCGGGGTTAGGTAAGGTTTTAAAACCTTTATCCTTTTTAATTTGAGCAACAGTCCTCATGCCCTGCCATGCAGCCTTCTCACTTGGGGGCAGAAGAAGGGTACGAACAGAAAAGCAATACGGAGTCATCTCCACTGGAACCCATGTTTTGAGCACCACCACATCTGAGCATTAAAGAAAGCAAAACAGACAAAAATTACAGCATATCTACACAATATTAGCATTTATTTAATAAACTCATAAAATTTTATTCACATGATGCACTTACTTCATTTGTATTCTGTCATCCGATTCCAAGGGGTTGACATAGCCAGGGGGGTGGTAATGGAGGACGAGCTCCATGACCTATAAAATGCTCCTATTTGGCATGCGTCTCCAATAGCCTCTGACAACCAAGTCCAACTCCCGGCCTGCACGGGTGGCTTAGTCTTTAAGTCCGGCGGAACTACTTTTACTAACAGGAGAAGGGGCGAGGGCGTGCCTCTGGCGCCTTAAAACCTGCTGCTCAGGGTAGATAGGACTCGATAGCCTGGGAAGGCAGCCCATCTAGGGGAAGGAAAACCCTGATTTTAAACCTCTGCTGCCTTGCGGCCATACCCCTTTTTTGGGAAAGGCTTCAGGAGTCAACCTCGAGGAAAAATCCGGAGTTGGAGCCCCTAAGGCAGTTCGTTGTTGACGTCGACCTCGTTCTGGCAGCTCCTGTGACATTGCTGGAACCATGTGTATTGGCATTTGCCTTTCTATTGGATAATTTCAGCAACGTGGAGAGGGGGGACCTGCTGCATGGGTAACAGCTTCTCCTCCATATCTACCTACCCAGGCTTTGCGCCCTGTCAGGGCGCAACTCCATAGTCTTCCGAGACTGAAGGATGCCTACTACTATATTCTGTCATCCATCAACACTTTTTCTGGTGAGACCCTACATGGCTCTCTGAAGCCATGTTACTGATACAGCTTCCCAATATTTAGCCACATCTATCACAGAAGTCTTATTGGCCTACAGGAGACCAGAGCCAGAATCTGTCCCATTCGACGAGGCACAGGTAGCTTTGGAATGTGGGGGCCTTTCTAACCACTACTCAAGGCGTGTTAGAAAAAACTTTGAGGATGCCAAATACTTGTTCCACTGGTAGGTATTTGGTTCCACTCTGGTGCATTCAGGAGCTTGTTCCCGAGAAGCCAGGCCACCAGTGGAGAGCCTTGACCTGGGGTAGTATATGAGTCTTGGATTCCTCTACACAACCTTGTGGTTGGGTGTACAGTGTTTCTGTTCTATGGACTGCATTAGGGTACATGTGCTAGTTTATACAGCACATCGCAGGCATCCTTTAAAGCCAAGTTTATCCTATAGATTGCGCTCACTGCTTGTTCGACCAGCAAACATATCTAGTGCCCGAGTGTCTTGCTTGGTTAGCTGCCTGGTAATTCTTCTGCAAGTTGGGGTGTGCCTCAGCATGGACCAACCTGACGAGCCTGCTTTTGCTACATGCGAGTTTGAAGAGAGTTTATGGCTGCTACTAGCTGTTATGATCATTCTGTTTCCACCATGCTGCCTGCTGGGTTCATCAATCCTTCAACCCAAAGCCCTGCAACATTTGTGCTCACTGGGTCTCTATCTCATCAGAGCCTACCTCGGGACAGGAGGCTTTTCAGGCAGCTGCTGTTTTGTGGGCTCAATTTTCCATCTTTTGTAGTTTGTGCCAAGGTGTTTGTTTGGTATTTAAGAATCCAGTTTTGAGTTTTGGAGAAAGTTAATTCTATTTGGTCTAAGTTTGCTTATCATCTTCCTTCCTCTGCTGGTGGAGTCAGGTTAGGGTTTAGCTGTGGTAAACCTCAGAGTTCAGTCAACTTCGAGTGTTGCCCCATCCACTGGGAATAAAGAGCCTTCGCCTTCACAACAATTATCTAGCTCTGATCTTGCTGTGTTGGATGATGTATATCTGTACTGTACCAGGATTCAGGTGCAGAATATGGTTCTGCTCCAGGGTCATCATGGCTGGCCCCCAGGGCTAAAAGAGCCAAGGTGGTTTCACGAGTGCTCTTCTACTGCTCTTGGTATTTAGTTCCTTTCTAGGAAAGCCTTTTGCTCACAGAGGATGATTGGGTGCATTTCCTATCACCTAATACATCTGTTCACTTAGCAGTAAATAGGTACTCAGGAGTTAGTCAGCTTGTTGTGGGGTTGCATCCTGGGGGAAGGTGTCAGCAGTTCAACCTTGGTGGGAGACCTCAATATAAGCCTAAAATTTATATATACACTGGTTGTTTGCCAGTGACCCAATTATGGCCCTATTATTATTTGGTTCTGTAGAATCATTTTTCTGGAGGTTTCCCTCACCCTGCACTTCACCTTCATTGGCACAGGTGCACATTTTTAAGTTACTGCTTCAGGATCAAGACCTTGCTTTTTTAATGGACCCATCCTCTTTTGAGTTTGGGTCAGCCTCAACTTTTTGGTTTGGGTATGAGGTCCCCAATTTTTCCTGACTTGCTGACATTCCCCTTTTTTCCTTAGGAGCTTTGCAGGGCTTCTGTCTAACCCACACTGGAGCCCTTACTGATGAGGCTCTAGAAGCACATATCCACTTGCCACTTGGCAACTGATTGCACATCTGGGACATCTGATACTTTTTTTTTTTTTGCCAGTTCCTGGTCCCACAATCTGTGGGCTTTTTGGGTTCTTTCCCACAGTTTCTGATGGAGTTGGCCTACTTTCTACCCTCTTTTAAAATCAAGGGAAATTTTAGGCCAAATGTTTTCCCCACAGCTTCGTGCTGTTGAACTGAAGGGCATGTCCTGGAATTGGTTATTTGAATAGTGCATTGAAGACTGATCTGTTTATGTCCTACCTGCAATTTTCATCACAGTGACACTATGAAGTTTCATGGTGCTTCTTTTACCTATGTCTCTTTCATCACATTTCTTCTGTGTCAGTTCGTGGTTCTGTCCTTCTTTTCCTGGTTATTTGTTGATTAGCACCTCGCTCCTAATAATGTTGCCTCTTATTGTGCGGCTCTGGGGGAGCCGCTTTTATTGGTACTCTGTGTCGATACTTCCTTGGCGCTGTTTTGCAACTTGTCTTAGCCTTTCTTGTTCACTCCAGTGTGTTGTTATTTTACTATGAAAATTTGAGACTTAGCTTTCTAGTATTTTCCATGTATACATTACTGTATGTGATACTTCTCTCGCTCTCGTCTTTTTTCCAGAGAGAACATTTTGAGAGCTTTGAGACGATCCCAACAGTTTGGGTGCTTTATCATGTCTATGTGCTATTCATAATAATATAACAATAATTTTAATTCAGGTAAAAGTACATACATACAAAATGAGTTATAAACAGAATATTGGATTTCTAGTCAAGTGCTAGTATATATTATGCCTAAAGCCACTAACATGCACAATGTTTCGGACCCATTCTTAGCATTCCCTTTATTGCAACAACCTCCACTGCTCTGAATGGTGAAGCGAGTATCGAACAGTACTTAAGGCAGTGGAGTATCTTGGGTATTTGCACATATGGCATATGCCCTGGATGCCACTTGAAGGGGGGGGGGGGTGCCACCGAGCACTTTCTATTTAAGTCAGATAAGCTATCCTCGAAGAGCAAATTATTTTTGTCAGATGTATGATCTGTCTTTGATTATATTATTATATGTAATAAGAATGCTATTACTTTTGCTTTAAGGTGTTACCACTGACAATAATGATCTAAAAATGAAGTGTGAAAGATTGGGTGAATTGTACAACTCTGATGTTGAGGGACAGCAGTTGTATGCAGTAAGTAATTATCAAAGGAAGGCACCAAGCCGGAAATGCTATGTAGCACACAGCTATATAAAAAAAAAATTGAATTGCAGAATGTTACTATCAAGTTGGGCCAACATGAAAATACAGACTTAAAGAGCTTCTCGAATTTATTGTTCAGTATGGAGATAAAAGCATCTTCCCTAATCTTCACATTGCTATTCAGATAATGCTAACCATCACAGTTTCCTTTGCCAGCTGAGAGAGATCATCATTCATCAAGTAAAAATTAATACTTTCGTATCTGAGAGCTTCTATGGATCAAGGCAGACATTGTGATCTTGCTCTGCTAAGTGTACAAAAAGAAGAAACTGAAAAAGCTGACTATGAGCTCATCATAGATCAATTTGCATCAGTGAAAGAAAGGAAGGGGCAGTTATAATTTTCATATACTAGTGTCACAATTGTTAAATTAAAAGATTAACAAACTTGACTGGTATTTTTGAGCTGATTTTAACGTAATCTGGGGGCCTGACAGCTGAGTGGATAGAGCTTCGGATTGGTAGTCCTGAGGTTCCGGGTTCGATCCCCAGTGGAGACGGAAACAAATGGGCAAAGTTTCTTTCACCCTGCTGCGCCTGTTACCTAGCAGTAAATAGGTACCTGGGAGTTAGACAGCTGCTACGTGCTGCTTCCTGGGGATGTGTAACAAAAAGGAGGCCTGGTTGAGGACCAGACCGCAGGGACACTAGGCCCCGAAATCATCTCAAGATAACCTCAAAATAAGATGATAAAGTTATGAGAGATGAGGGTTAAGAGATTTGGACAGGGGGCACAATTTCAGTGCTTGTCTTAGGCATTATTTTCCTTAGATACACCATTGACTCAAGGTGGTACAACACAAGTGATTTGAATAGTTTGAGCATCGTGACAGGATCCCCTGGATTTCAATGTTTTCATAATCGAATCTATCTATTTTTTTTTTTTTTAGCTGACACTATATACAGTATATATATCTGCTTGGTTTTGTTCTCTAAATGTTAGGTTGTCAAGACAATATTATTCCCAGATCCTTTACATGTTGCTTTCCTACTTTGGGTAGATTTGATTGGTTGCAGGTTGCAAGATATAGTTGTGTCTTGCACCTTGTATTTTGTTTAGAGTCTTCAAATAAAAGACTTTAAGCTTCCACTTCTGTGGTCATGGGTTCGAGACTCCTATGGTCCAAGCGAATAACCTGTAAGGTCTTCATTTTTCCATACCTAAGTACCTGGAATTCATCACTATTAAACAAGTTATTTTCCACTGCCTAGTCAAAAATGTTATTAATATCAGCCTGCAATTTTTCAATGTCTTCTACACAAGTAATTTTCATGAAGATTAACGATGGTGTGATTGGATTTTTGTCAGAATCTAATGTGACAATAAGAAAAAGCAGTGGTGCAAGGTACTATAAAATATATATAAATTATGAAAATAACAAACTCACTGTTTATGAACATTTTACACACACTTACCACTCATTTTTATAGAATCTTCAAATGTAGCTCGGAATAATCCTTTATGGCCTTTGGACTTTTTTATGATTCCACGAATTCCCGATTGTGTTTGAATCTTTGCTCCTTCAAACTTGGCAATTTCAGTCTCGGTATGAAACATGTCCTGAAATTGGTCATCATATAAGATGGGTAATTATAAAATAATAAAATTATCAATAATGTCCATGAAATTTCTTAATCGTTAAAATTTTAGTCAGGGATAATAAGTATTCTATAATGTCAACCCGTTCTCGCACATTTAATAAGTCAATATTGACTTATTAAATATGTGCATAGGTGACATACTTAACATAATAGATACCCTTAAAAAGATTCATAGAAAACACCGACCTTACCTAACCTTGTTAGTTTCTTAAGATAAGCATCTTATTGCTTCGTAATTACAATTATTACCTAACCTATAATAGGTATAGGTTAAGTAATAATTGTAATTACGAAGCAATAAGATGCTTATCTTAAGATACTAACAAGGTTAGGTAAGGTTGGTGTTTTCTATGAATCTTTTTAAGGGTATCTATTATGTTTAGTATATCACCTATGCACGTAGTTAATAAGTCAATATTGACTTTACGAATTTGCGAGAACGGGTTGATAATGTATATACAGAAGTGCATTTTGTTAATCAAATATAAATCCCTTTCATATATATACAGAGGAACTTTAGTACTCTAACAGCTCCCAACTTGAACATTTCGGCACTGGGACGCTGTGTTCATGTTCGGTACTTGTCTGTCTGCTTGGCACTCACACTTAAACAGAGCTGCTAAACACCACAAACAACATGGTAGAAGAGCTGATAATCAAAACAGAAATTTTAAGTGTGATTATCCTTGTATGTAAATCACCAGCTGCAAGTCTTCAGCAGTTTAAAGACCGACTTATGAAAGTAGAACACTGCTTAAAAACATCATAAGCCCTGCCCCAAACATGTGGTAATTCAACGTACAGCACCTAAAATGGAAAATGTGTCAAATACAGTTACACTAGACAGAATCCCAGGAACCAGTTTAAATGACCAGCCACACACAAATGACCTCTTGCAGATGTATGACAGATTTGCCTTAACCCAGCAAATAACAGAACTAGAAAACACCCTAGACCTTATTTATATAAACAATGATGAACTTGTTAGGAACAAAATGAATACAAATACATATTACTCAGATCACACAACCTAATCAAAGTTCAGTGAAACGTGAGCAATAGACCTTTGCAGCCAGTCTCAAATCCAAGTGAAGTAGAATTAAACATTCATTTTTAATAACTGACTAACTAGGAATAAATAAACCAAGACCTTGTAGAAATATGCTGGGAAGAACAGCTAGATAATGCAAATCTAAACTACTGCTTAGAGCAAATAGGCACAGTAGCACTATTTGTAAAGGCCCAAACACATGTCTATAAAGTACAAAGCCTGGAAAAATAAACCTCATTCACTGCTCTGAGGTGAGGTGACTCAAGATGAATGAAACTTGTAGAAGAGGAAACCCCAGTCCCTAAGAGGTTATCTTGAGATGATTTCGGGGCTTAGTGTCCTCGCGGCCCGGTCCTCGACCAGGCCTCCACCCCCAGGAAGCAGCCCGTAGCAGCTGTCTAACTCCCAGGTACCTATTTACTGCTAGGTAACAGGGGCATCAGGGTGAAAGAAACATTTTGCCTATTTGTTTCCACCTCCACTGAGAATCGAACGCAGAACCTCAGGACTACGAATCCGAAATGCTGTCCACCCAGCTGTCAGGCGCCCAGAAGCAAAAACTTCTGGTAGGGTAGAAGGAAATGCAATCCTACCCTAGAGAAGGGAACCCTGGCCTTAGTTGGAAGTTAGGGCACATCCAATGTAGGTTGCATAAATACAATTATGAAGTTAAAAATACAATTATTGTAAGGAAAGCCATGGTTCCCAGACGACTGAAAGTTCCAGGGAAAGCTAACCCAACTTAGCTGACAGTGAGAAGCTTTAAAGGGCTCAACAGAGACCAAAGTAATGAGGATACAGTCACATGCCCCAGTGATGCGGAAGTAACACTCGCCCCGTGCTTTAAGAGCGATTTGGCCTAGGTTCGTATCCTAGCTGGAAAGGACTGACTAGACACCAATCCTTAACTGTACGTCTCTGTTCACCCAGCGGTGATTGGACACGTGGGTTGTTAAATGATTAACGGGTCATATTCCAGGGGGAACTAGTGAGTAAGGCTTACCATGAGCTATGGGATGGGAAAGCGCTCAGCCTGCTAACAGGAGTCAGCAATTGTCTGTTACTGTATCCACCTGTGTTAAAAAAATGATGGGGGAGGGGGTAAACCAGTGAGGACCATGGGTGACCTGGGCTTCCATCTGGTGGGAGTCACGTGCACCACAATTAGGGTGATTTCCCCCATGGCAATGATTGTTTACATGATGGGTCTCAGAGCCTGGTGCAAGGCTCTAGCCTCACCTGTGTATAAACTAGTGGAGCTACTGAGGAAGCCATCCTAAAAATAAATCACCCCTTTAGCATGTACACAAAATGAGAGTCAACTATATTCACTTTGAGACATAGCCATACACAAAATAGCATAAATACTTTAAAATACCTGAATGAAGGCTGTTTTTTTCAGGATTTTTTCTGGAGTACCCAACAACTTGAGCTTCTTTACAATCTTGCAACTCTGGTCTGTCTCTAAAACGACTCCATTGGCAGCAATTCGAAACTCAGGCTGTTTGAAAAACAAAAATATTAAAATCCCATTAGCTGAAAAACTGAGAAATATAAAATATAAAGGGTTATTATAATATTAGTGAGTAGGAGACCGACAAGATACAACAGATGCTGTCTTCTTAAATGCTTTATTTTTCTTCTAATTATCTTTTGTATTTCCTCAGGCTACTGTTCTTTTCACTTATTACTGTTCCCAGATTACTCTTATTCAAAATATTCACAGTTACCATTAACAACCATTTTAAATTCTCACTTTACATTCACATCCTCTGCTACTTTTCCTTCTTATAACTGAACTACTCCAAGTTTATCCAAATGTGCATGGTGCTCTGACACACTTGCCTTATGGTCTCTATCTCTCTTGTATCTTTCATTCATTGGTGCTCTCATCAGTTTTAGAATGTACTACAAATATAGCATTGAATAATGAAATGCCTCTTTTTGGGGAGCTCTTGCTTGCCAAAACTTGTGCACTCCTACTTCAGGGTCAATACCAACATACCAGGTATCCATGACCATCTCCCAGAAATGCTCACAAAATTTTTCAATGATATTTGCAATCACCTAATCATTGCATAAATGTAAGCACACCTAAATTTAGTTATAAGGAAAGTTACACCCACACCCATTAGAGGAAGCAAAATGTTGGTCCTTGCTTATAATTGATCAAGAGGCTCCTAGATGCTGGTGTTGGCCCTGAGGTCCTTGTGCAGTGAACTCCAGGGAGCTACTGATGAGCTGCCCAAAAGGAAGTGTTGTATAACACTCCAATATATGTAAGTAAAGCTTCAAAATTGCAGTAAAAATTCATCTACCCTTACCACACGGTCTGTAATATTTTGTAGAGCAACAAATCCTGTGTTGACAAGTGTTACTGGTCCCCAAAACATTGCTTCAATATGCAAGTACTTCCGTGCATACTTCAGTGACCGCATCCTAAAGTTGTCCTCTCTCTTCGCGTAGTACATTAAAGTTTGAAAACGTCGCCAACCCAAAGAAAGAATGAGAGGATCTCGATTTTTAAGAATTTTGGGATACCAACGATGAACCTTGATACGAACCTGCGAACATATACAGTATTAGAAAATGCATTAGAACTACTTTTATAAGCAATTTTTATTACAATTTTAAGGCATAAATGAAAAATATAAAATGCATTTGTAATTGCATAGCTCAATATAAGGTTAAATAAATGTTATGAGGATGTAATAAGGCCTATAGGAGAGTGTAGTTACACAAGGAAACAACAATAACATGATATACAGGTAGCTATGAGAAAATCATTGGAAGAGGACAGGAATCGAACCAAAACCCTGGGTAACCCCAGACACGCATCTTAACCCATAGATGATACTATTCTAAATATTATATAACTTATGATCTGCTTGGATTTACTAGGTTCAATCCCCCATCCTAGTCCAATGACTTTCTCGCAGATGTAACATGTTATAGTGATTTCCTAATTTATTTGAAGGGAATATTTTGCGGAGAACTCCATTTACTACACCAGTGTGTTTGTGGGGTATATGTAAAACTTGGATTGGCTATCAGCTGGCACAGTGGTTTTGGGCATCAAACAGGGTCCTGGCTGCCCGATATCTTGTCAATGTTCTGGGCCCATTGAGGCCTTGTGTTGCTTTGGGACACCTGTCACATCCAGTTGTCTCCTCTTCTTCCTGATACGTGCAGTTTGCATGAAGTTTTTCCTCCCAATCACTGCATGAGTGGTGATGTTGAAAGATGTAGAGGTGACACATCAATATTCATAATTTGGCAGAGATTCAAAGTTATTGATATCTTCTATTTGTGTGAAGGTAACAAGAGTAATAAACATATGAGTGGAAATATGGTCTCAGGATGGCAGAGATAAGTTGTGTTAATGGTGGTATCAAAGTGTTACTGTTTTATGAAAAGTGTGTGATTTAGTCAAGAGACTGAGTTTGTGAGTCGAAGTATGTTTGGGAGTTAGTCACAATTCAGATAGGTTAGGGTAGATTATGGTAAGGTAAGTTAAGAGTACATTAAGTAGCATGATGTTAATGTGTATAAGGTCAGGTTAGGTTGAGGTAAGTTAAAGATGGGTTATGCTATGTTTGTATTTTGGAGTTTTACGACTGGGATGCAATTACATTAGTCTTCTTTGACCTGCGGTGCTGCCGCCTCCTTGTAAGTCCCTCTCCTTATCCGTTGGTAGTTAGCTTCAGGGAGTCGACGGGGCTCCCTCAGAAAACCACTGTTGAAAGTACCTGCTTGATGGGGTTCTGGGAGTTCTTCTACTCAACAAGTCTGGCCCGAAGCCAGGCTTGACTTGTGAATGTAATGAAATGCCAATTTCTGGGCGAGCCCTGGAAGCCCCCCCTGACACTCTCCCTCCCTCCGATCGCCAGCTTTTTCATCATTCTACAAACTGGTGGGGTGAGAGGTTGGCTCGCCTGAGCAAGTGCGCTAGTTGGAGGTCGATTTGCTTTTTTTTGGGGGGTGTGGGAGTGGGGTGGGTGGGGGGGGGTGGGGGGAGTTCTTTGGCTCTGTTCAGACATAGGCAGCAATTTTCACCAGTAGAGGGCTTGTATTGCTTCGCCTACATTTCTGGGGGCTTTCCCTGGTCGATGGCAAAAATGACATACTGTACTCTAAATGTAGGCTGCTCCCTGTGCCTCTCTGAGGTGACCAGGTTCTGGCTCGTGGTCTCTGGTAGGCAGAATTCCTGTAATTAATGTCCCCAAACTATTATAGCACATATCAGTCTGGATGGCTTCAGGAAGCCGACAGGGCTTCCCTCAGAAAAGCTTTATTGCTAAATTTTAATAACAGCCATTTCTTTAGTTCATACTTTTGCATTTCAAGTTTCAAATATTCTTGAGATACTATACAGAAACTTGTCAGAAGGAAAAAAACAAATTACATATACAATACATTATAAAACCATAAGGTATTCCTACTGGGGATATCTAATTACAGTATATGATTAACTTAATTACAATATGAACTTACTCTGACAAATCCCATGTTGTTCTCATTTTCAAGTAAGCCCCCAACAATGAGTGGGTAACTGGCATCGAAGTTGGTGATGAATTCACATGGAAATTTAGAGAACTCCATACGAACATACATTCCCGGACGATAACCTTCATATTGTACTCTCAACTCATCGTCCAGTCCATCAAACTCTTGACGGTTCAACTGAGGAAAAGAAAAATACCTAACTGCAAACACAACGAGACAAGAAAGCATTGCATAGATTTTTATCAAAAGATCAGATTATATCACAATTGCTATTATCTCATTCAACAAGTTTTGTTACAAACATCTTACAAAAATCCAGTATTGAATGTAATGAAAAGCCAATTTCTGGGTGAGCCCCGGTGTAGCTCCCTGAAGCTATACACTGAGATGATTCTCATTTGCCAGGTTGCATCAGCTGTGACATTCTTATGACTCCCAGTGACCAGTGCCAGAACCTGGCCTCCACACAGAGGCTCAGGAAGCAGTGATATTTCCCCACCTAACCAGTGAAAGTATCCAAAAAGTCAAGAGACAAAAGAAACCAGACCCAAGGCCACACAAGGACACCAAAGTCCAGGAACATTCACCAAATATTGGGCTGCCAGAACCCTATTAGACCTCCAAAACCCTCATGCCCGAATATTGGCCAAGGACATTAGCAAACAGCTGTGAGAGCATCATACTTCCAAACATCATGGACATGAGGGTGGACTGAAGGCTGGCTAGATTTACTAACTCGATGATCTAAGAAACACAAGCCTTGGAATGGGAAACAAAGGAAACAAGATCAACCCACAAAGCATCCACTGAAGCAAAATCAGTGGCATGAAGGTAGCAGCAGAGAGCTGCCACAGGACACAGCACGCACACCCATGGACAAACCAACCCAACATCAATAACCAAAGGAGCCCTTGGGAAGCTAACAGACTCATTTTTTGCCAGAAAAGAAGCAGCTGGTTACCAATGAATAAAGTACCCATCAGGACCAAAAGAACAGAAACCATGTCTCCAGAGGAGAGCATGAAGCTCTCCGACCTGACAACCAGACAAGATACCAAAATCAAAGCCTTGGAGAGAGAATTACAGACTGAAAGGGACATTGCAAAACTAGAAAAGGAAAGAAAGGCTCATACAGTACTGTTGCCAAGAGGAACATAAGTGGAACACAGTCAAAGAAGACACCTGCTTGCAGCAAAGTTGGAGATAAAGACCCATCAAAAAGACCAGACACAAAGAGATGATGAGGTCAAACCAACGAAATACCTCACTGGGCTCTCTAATAAGAGGCGGAACCATGAAAAAACACCTAGGTTAGGACACTGAGCAAGCAGTGCCTAAATCCAAGGCAGAGCTGGCCACCAAAAAGCAAAAGGACCACTCTCTCTTGGTAGGTCTCCAACCTGGCCAGGACCTGGAGCAACAGCCAGACCAAGAAAAAGAGGTACTGTACTGTATAGGAACCCCACTTCAACCAGTCCAGCCGAAAGGCATCTACTGTGAAGGCCTCGTGATTCACGGATGGAGCTGCATGCAAAGAAAGGTGCCAATTACATGCCGACACAAAGAGGTCCTTCTCCAGGTTCCCATTGTGAGAAGTTGGGTTTTTGGCCACTTCTCAGCTAGCTTACATTTGTTAGGTGATAGGTAGAAAAGGCCTTTTACCTCAGAAAATGGTGGAGATGTGCACAGGGTGTGCACAAAAGTCTATCTTTCTTGTTAATGGAGATAAACAAGTGGAATCACGTCTCTTTCGAAAGGGGATGCCTTCAGCATTCCAAAGATATAACTCTCGTTGTCGTAAGTATTCTGTGTGAATAGTTACAGGTTTTCTCTGAATTCTGTAACTTTGGCCTGGCAACAGAGAGAGAGAGAGGATGAGGGAACCAACCCTCAAGTATCACTGCTCCAATATGCCGGTGACGTGACATCATCAGCGTCTTCTGCCGGCTTAGCGTTTATTGGAAGCGGCACGAGGCCTCCGCCGAGGCTCGAGCCTGATTGGCCGAGGGCCTGGCATCAAAGGGAGCCGCCACTTGAATTCTCGCGCCAAAACCCTTGCTGGTCTGAGATTCTCGCGCCTTAAGGCGTCATTCTGTGTCGAGGGGCTAAGCTGTCAAGACAGGGAGATCAGGGCTCTGGCCAAAGCCTTGATTCTTCCCGCCTTTAACTCCAGCCTGCCCAAGTTGATTCTACGCCGCTCTGTGATCGTTGCTACAGAATCCAGCAATTGCAGGCTCCGTTAGAAGTTAATTCAAGGAGATAGTGAAGTCGTAAGCCGTCACATGTGCTGCCAACAGGTGCAACTGTTCAGAGTCATCCTGTGAAATCGGCTTATACCTAGAGCAATCCGTCTTTCTATTGCTCTGTCAGAGTGAGAGATAAGAATCAGGAAACGATTCTAAGTGTTTGAGTGAAGATCCGTGTGAATGTGTGGACTCAACCGGGCCTCGCGGTCCAGTCCTGCCTTACCTCGCTCCTCAGAGAGCAGTGTCCCACCTCACTCCGTCATCTCCAGTGCATGGTCTTCAATCAACAGCTGCAGCAGTGAGAGGGTGATGAATGATTGTGAGTGTGTCATACCGGTATAAATTAACGTGAGTACTCAAACATTATTTCTCTGTATCTTCTTTGTGCATTCCTTGTGCCGATTTGATTCAGCCGTCCGGTGTTCGTTCCCACTAGTTCCCCTATGGGACTATCCTCAACGCCCACACTCTCGCTCTTCTCTCACCCCCATCTTTTTTCTCTGCATTCCTTTCTTGATCATCCTTCCCCTCTCCTCCTGCTCCCATTCTAGCCGTCTCTTCCATCCCCTGTCTCTCCTTCCAGATATTCCTTCACTTCACGATAGGTGAAGACCTACTACAGCTTTTGTGTGTGAATACTGTAGCAAGATCTTAGTGTGTGATTGTCATCTTACACATTCAGTTTCACACATTTAGTTGTCTTTGTGATGTGTGTATTTTACTGTGTTAAGTGTGGTTTATTGTTTACCATAACTGTGAGAATAACCCATGTCCATGCCGTTCTGTCTTTACTTCCAGGGGACATGCTGTAAGTCCAAGTAAGAGTTATTTACTTTGGTTATTTTTGTAATTGAGTGACATGTGAGTGTGTCAGTGTTGTGTGGTGTTTTACTATTAGTTGTTGGTCTCAGTGACCCGTGTTAGTGTGTACATTTATCATTACCATTTTGTTGTTGGTCTCAGTGACCCGTGTTGGTGTGTACAATTATCTTTGATATATTGTTGTTGGTCTCAGTGACCCGTATTGGTGCGTTAAGTGTAACTGTGTTCATTAACTTGCAGAGAAAAGTAGACTCAGTGCTGAGTGTAACTTTGTGTTCATTAACTTGAGACGTCAGAGTGACTTTGTGATCATTTATTCTTGCAGTGTCAGTGTAACGTTATGTTCAATTATCCTTGTGATATCGGTGTTAATTTTAATTGATCTGATACGCGGTGATTAGTAATCGTATTGACTGATCAATGTTAGTTAAGCGGTCTTAGTGACGCCGAGCCTTAACGTAAATTCTTCGTGAATTGAGTGAGCTGTCAAGCTGTGAGATTCTGGTATGATTACTCAGGGATTGTTAATTACCCGTAGCCATTGTTGAGTGTGTTGACTTTAGAATTGACTGAAGTAATGTAATAAGTTGAGTGTTGTTGTTCTTGTCATGTACTGTTAGTATTAAGTTTTATGAATAAACTAACTGTTAAGTACAAGTGCCTTTACGTTCACACCTTCAGACCCTTGCATCTAATGATAACTTTGCCAATATTCTCAATACTATTGTGAGCCTTTTTATGTTGCGTGTATTACTTAAATTCCAACTACTTTCATGGCCATACACATCAAATATAAATTCTATTCGATGTGAATTGTGTTCGAGCTACTCTGATGACCTCCTTCTGAGGCCCCTAGAAACTCCACGACCTAATGGATAAGGAGTGCCAATTACTTGGACTCCTGCAGCTGCTCTATGCATCCCTGGTCAGTCATTAAAGTATAATCTGCCCTCAGCATTAGTTTGATGCTAGTTCAGTCCATTCTGACTGAGGTTTCTCATAACCTATTCACCACAAAAAACCAGCGTTGAATGTAATGAAACGCCATTTTCTGGGAGAGCCCCGGAGGCTCCCTGGAGCTTATCGGGCTAATGTATGTTATGTTAGACCGGGACATTAGCTAAGGAGTTCAGACCTACCAGGGACCAGCGCCAGAACCTGGCCCCTTCAGAGACGTTTCAGGGAGCAATGGCCCTGGAAAACCCCATATGGTTGGGGGTTTTCCTTATCTGCCATCGACCGGGGTTAGGCACCCAGAAAGGTAGGCATAACAAAACAAACCCCACATGGTAAGAAACTACAACAAAAACCGAACAGAGAGGTAGAAAACTCCCTACAATCCCAAGGAAACTAGCAAACAAGCAAACATCACACTTTACTGCCGCGCCGATCGTCCGCGCAGCCCTCCCCGCCCCGGGAGGGGGAGGGGGGAGCCCCGGACCTACCGCGCCGGCTGCCAAGCTCCAGTTCGGAAGCTAAGCCTCAACCAACGCGAAAAAACCGCCGACCGGTGGGAGGGAGGGTTTCCAGGGAGCCTCCGGGGCTCACCCAGAAAATGGGGTTTCATTACATTCAATGCTGGTTTTCTGTGGGGAGCCCCTACGGCTCCCTGGAGCTTCATACCCAAAGAGAAGGAAAAGAAAGGGCTAACCCGGGAGGCGGCCGCCACAAACTCTGCAACGCAAAGCCAAGACAACCGGCCGCAAACCTGCGACCCAAGGCAACAAGAATGCCCAAGAACAGACGCACATATGGATGGGCGGCCAAAAACCTGTGCGACCCACAAATCCCTGCGCCCGAAATGAGCCCGTGACGTCACCAACACGGCAGCAAAAGCTGCAAACGTCTGAACAGCACGGGCGCAAAGACAGACCGCAGGCTGGAAGAAGGAAAACACTGCGGACGACCTGGGAGACCCGAGCCCTGAAAACAGGGAACGAAGGAACCGGATCAACCACAGCGCATCCCCAGACACGGTACGCCGGCAACAGCAAAAAGCACAACCGGACAACACAGGACGCACACCCCGGCCAAACCAATCTAGTACCAATACCCCAAGAACCCCTCCGGAAAGCAGCCGTCACGACCGGCGCCAGGACAGAGAAAGGC